AGTCTGGGCATCTTTGCTTAGACTGCTGCCCCCGCGACCCGGTCCCGGATAAGTGGAGGAAAATGGATGGATGGATGGGTTTTGAGTCTCACTAGACTCTCCATCGACTAAAAAGAAATTCAGAAGAGTAGTGTTAAAGTGTCCGTAGCCTCTCCTCAGTGATATAAAAGTACAGATTGTGTGTGTCTGAGTCAGGTTCATAGGTGAAAGCTCTTGTCAGTTGGTCTAAACTCAGAAATTTATATTTTTGATAAGTTTACAAGAAACCTACAATTATAACAATTTTAGTATGATGTGAATGCAGCATTATTAATTGTATAGCTCTTTCAAATGTAGTCAGCCAATTGTAAAAAAAAAGTAGCTTTGTAGATATTGTATCTTTCACATATTTTAATAATTTTTAATAGTTTCTTGATTATTAAATGACAGAAACACTCAACCTTGAATCTCTGTCTTACCGTGTAAAGTCCAGCCTTGATGTGGTTGTAGTCCTCTTTGTTTACTCTGATTACCTGAAAAGCTGAGCTCCAGATTACAACATGTTTAGGGGAGTGTTTGTGTATGTGCGCAAGTTCATGCACTGTTTTCTGTGTATATAATCTGTCCATCATGCTCTCTGTGCAGCTAGGTGTGAGATAATCCACATAAACATCCACACACACACACACACACAACTAGACAATGGTTTTATATTTTGGAGCTGTTGCTTATCCTCTGTTTGGTGGATTTCAATACTATTTATACTCTAATAAAAGCTCGAGGTTCACCACCTGTGAAACTATTAAAACCATTAAAATAGTCAGATTCATTTCTGCCCTTGTGAACCTGATAGTTTAATTTTGAAAAATGCTGTTTTGGTAGATACTCTGTCCTCAAGGATGTTGAGAAGGTTTTGCTGAGACTGTCATTTTGAGCTCATTTCTGGTTTTAAAAATGATTCAAATATGTTTGCGTTAATATCTAGAAAGGGTGTTTTTTTTCTTTTTCTCAAAACTTTTCAGCCATGACAGGCTCTGATGAAACTGAGATCGTAGAGAATCGGTAGTGCAGAAATAAAGCCAATAAGAAAATGAGAAGATCTGTCCTGATATTTTTATATGATCAGATTCTGGACCCAATATGAAACCTAAAAGTCTGTATCAAACAGACGCTGCATTTATAGTACATATCTTAAAATGTGACCCTTTCCTCTCCCTGTTGCTTCCCTTCAACCCTGCTTGAACTGTTTTCACTTGACATGAGCAAGGAGTCATTTCAGACAAATTTGCCTCAGACTGTACCTCCTGTAACTCATATCAGCCTCAGCTCACTCTCTCATATAAATAATGCGATACGTTTTATTGATTTGCTTGCCTTCCTCCAGGGACATCAATAGTCTAAGCAGAGTCAGCAACAGTACATCATCATTTTTACTTGTAGGAAGTGTCTACTTTAAGGACTGTTAAAAACAAACATTAGTATGTAAGCTCACGCTTTTGGATTTACATACAGTACATATTCTGTATGTTTTTTTGTCCTCTTTTGGAAGTGGTCCTCAAAGGGGGGGTACATGTATGGTGTGATGTGAAAGACCTAGGGTAAGATCAGTGTCTTTCATTTAATTTTACCTCTTTTAGTTGTGTAGCAGTAGTTTTATATTGTTTCATTCACTCAGAACCTGAATGATGTTTAACACTTTTATATTGTTATTTTCAATTGCAGTAATTGTTCTTAGTCACTTTACTATGTCATTGTAGTGTTTTATGTTAATTCGGTCAGGTTTTCATCCATCATTTATGATCATTTATTCTATATAATTTTATACTTGGGTAAACCAAGGTTAAGGAGGAAACAAAAACACAAGTGGCTGATCAAACACTGTAAGCTTTGAAAAATGGCTGCAGTTTATGGGCTAAACCACAGAAAACCAGCAATTTAAAGGGGATATATTAGTGAAATAGATCAGGGCCCATATTGTTCAGAACATGTCTTAGAGGATAAAAAAAGAGATAACAGTGGCAGCTTACAGAGAGTAAATTGAAGGGAGGTTTAGAGGTTAATTCAGGCTTTACTGGGGCGATGGCACTGTCCCTCATGTCTGGGACCAACATGCTCTTTAAGGTCAGTCAGAAGTAGGTTATGGTCCTGAGACTGGTACAGTGATAGAGAATATCTGAAGGTTTACTGTGAGCATCCAGTTGTGGCTTATACTGACAGGGTGGATCATAGAGCTAGAGAAGACCATGCAGTAGCACAGTGTCCATGGATACTTGTAGTGTGTGTGTGTCTGATTTTATTGTGTAGGATGTGGCAGAGGTTTACCACTGGGCCAGCAGCAGGGTGTCCAGCTAGTCCAGCTAGAGTTCTTAGGGTCATCTGAGTGCCAGCCATGACCTGATTTTTCCCTGCATACTGCTACAAAGCCAACCCCATCATGCGAGAGGATCAGACGATTTACACACACACATAGATATGGTTCAGCACAGTTTGCAGAGAAGTCTAAAAAATAGGTAGAATTACAGAATTTTTGTGCTATATATTGACCTTAATTTATTTCTTTTTGTGTTTTAAAATTAAATTAGAGAACAAAAAAAGGAATAAAATTAAAACACACATGAACTTGGAAAAAATACAAAGCAGGGACAGGTGTAAGATGCAGCTCATGGCCTGCTTTAATCATCTGCTCACTCACACACACACACACACACACACACACATACACACACACACCTACAAATAGAATGTTGCCTGTGAGGCTGGTTGATTGGATCACTTTAGGTGAGCATGCAGATTTTATTGTCAGGTCATCAGGAGTGTAGAACCAGGCCATACCAGTGCTGTATGTAAGAGGAAGAGCCGGAGAGGTAGGCAGAGACAGATAGAAACCTGAAAAGAAAATCTGGCAGGAAAAGGGTGGATAGACAAAATGTAAGTGGAACCTCACAGTTATTAAGCGGAGACTCTGTTACTGTGGCTGAACAATCACACACACGCACACACAACTCAAGCTACACTCCTCATGAGTAAACGAATTGACACTGAGACACTGAAACACACACAAGCACACAGAGGAGATGCAGTCGCAGCCTCTCTTCACAGCTGACAAGCTGCCCATTCATCTGCACATAAGAGGACGGAGTGAGCGAACTACACTCAGGAAATTGCAGCCGCGCAATTTACAACCGCTAAGCAGCGGTGGAGGACACAGTCACATGCACACTCCCGCACTTTCATCAGAACTATCACTATCATGCGAACATGCGCACACACACGCAAGCACATTCATGCACACACGGGTGCTGGTTGTTTCTCTGCCTGGGTCTTTGAGCAATTCAATGAGGGCTCTTTTCACCATAGTGAATAAGCCCTCTGATTCCCTTCCATGCTTTATGTGTGTGTTTTGTGTGCGAGTTGGTGCACGTGTGTGTGATTTGTGTGCTCATGCCATGTGTTTATGTGTGTCCTCTTTATCTTTTGTGTGGGCCAAGCTGAGGGGTGAGAGCTGTTTTGCCTGTGGCCGAGCCTCACAAACGAGCTGTTTGGCCCACGTTTGAAGCCTGAGCCTGAAGCATTTGAACAAAATGATCCTTTATTGCACTTTAATTTGGACAGGAGACAAGCGTACCTCAAAAGGGGGGTGTGAATTCCTCCTTACAAGTGGTTTCTACCTGTGATTATTCTCAGAGGTCACTGTTTTAATGATAAAAGGTGAGGTTTTGGTTGGGTTAGATTCCTTGTACAGAACACTGGCTGCACTGCTTCTGTTGGATTAATCAGATTGCAGTTTTTCAAATGTTTTTAATTATGCATACCATTTACTGGAAGCTTTTATCTGAAAAGCCATGAAAGCATACTTTTAGTATGTGCTCCAGTGGAATCTACCCACTGAGTTAGAAAGGGCCTCTTACAAATAAAAGGTTTTTAGGTTTGTTTGTCTGTTTTTTGTTGGTTTATTCTTAGGACATAAAAGTCAGTCCAATCTTTTTACCTGTTCTATTCACTGTCAAGCTATTTTTCAACTAGGTCTCCCTCTAGTGAGGGATGTTTGTAATAGCCCACTAAGGAAAATGTCCAAGAATCACATTCATATACGGATCCTCCAAATGTCAAAAAGCATTAAGGTTTTGTGACTTCAGTAGAAGTCTTATTCTAATTTTTTTCTCTTTTTCCCACATTCTTCTGTGTGACATTTTTGTCACTGGCCTCTCCCTGTTATCTACCCTTCACATTTACATTTCTATTTTACCAATCTACTCTTTTTTTCTCATCATTCCCTGCCTTCCGTTTGCCTCACCCCTTCCCTCTTCTCCCAATGACACCCCGATCCAGCTGATAATCTACCAGAACGGCCAGGTGTTCAGCCTCGCCAATCACCTCAGTGGTCGTGTGGGCTTCGTTGCCACCATGCCAAGTACAAGTGCCTCCATCTTCATCAATAACACCCAGCTGTCCGACACTGGGACCTACCAGTGCCTCGTCAACAACCTTCCTGACAGAGGGGGTCGCAACATCGGAGTCACTGGGCTGACCGTGCTGGGTAACTAATGCACATCACCACAGGTTTATTTTATGCTACAAAAGCCAGAGGTTGGAGTACATTAGTAGAGGACAGGGTTAAAAGTGCGCCTAATCAAAGCCCAGAATATGTGCTAGGTGTCAGTTAGAGATAATAGAAGAGACTAACAATATATTATTTTGCTTGCATGTGAGGTTGCAAGAACTGTGGCTTTTAAACATGCTTATGTCCAATTTACAGTATGTCATTGTTTGAAAAGTGTTTACGTTGACCCTTAAGGTGGGCAGTATTACCAGCCAATTTTAGAGCTTTACAGAAAGGTTAAAAAAAGTTTTAAGCAGTCTTCTTTAAGACAAATTGTAGAAAGCGAAGTTCTTTAAGAGAAAATAGGAAAACATTAGATTTGCTTTGTAAAGACGTTAACACGACACTGCCCACTCTCTCCATCTGCCAGTGCCCCCCTCAGTGCCAGTATGTCGGATCCAGGGCACTCTGGATGTAGGCAGTGACATTATACTGATCTGCAGCTCGGAGGAGGGTATCCCCACACCGTCCTACTCCTGGGAGAAGTTGGACACGCTGCCCAAGCTGCCGTACAATGCCATGAAAGGTATTACAAACAAGCTGATCGTCGGAGTCCCCTTTTGCCGCACCTTCGCTGGTAAATTTCACACAGAGTGTAGCTCAGACTCAGCAACAGCTCCACCCTCAACACCAGCTGTCATGTGTCAGGTCCGAACTGCTGCCCACCTGAAGGTTCCCCCTTCTGATCCTGCAGATGGGTGATAATGGATGGATGGAGTGATTGAAACATTTCACTTTATAAATGAGTGCATGTTTGTGTCAGAAGTGTGTTGGGTAAAGTGAATGTTTATTTTGTGTGTGTGTCTTTACATTTTCCTCCTTCTCTCATGCTGAACATCAAGTCCAACACAGCTTTCACACTCTGCCCAAACACTTGCCTTTTTTTTTCCTGGAATGGTGTGGTCACTGTTTAACCCTTAGCTAAGCAGTGAACTAACAGCCATCCAGCAGCTCTCAGAACAGCAGGAGTAGTTGTATCAGAGTTGTGTTTGGTTTTCAGCCTCAGAGATCTGGTGAAATGGACTCTCCTTTCTTTTCCAGCTGTGCCCATCCCACAGTCTAATAATCTTCATCATCAATCACTGTCTGCACACTACTGGTCAATAGAATGCTAATATACAGAGAGGTCACTTCAGGTGCAGATTCCCACAAAAAATAAAGTTAATCATTCTTCTTATAACGCTGTAGAGGCAAATTATGGAAAGACTTTGCAGGAAAGGATCTTTGAAAATTGATAATTGCAAATTCAGCTACAAAGGTGGTCAGTCATCAGCATTAGTGTGATGCTGGTCATCGTGTCCAACAGTCTGAGCTCTTTGATATATTAACACCTAACAGAGCTTCACAGAGATGAAATAGTAACTCCAAAGTTGACAGTTGGACTGATAAAGATTATCACAAAATGTACAATTTTATTAGATTATATAATAATTCCATGCTAGGATACATATACAATAGTTACAATACACTTGCTGTATATTTTAATTCAATTTTATTTGTATAGCACCAGTTTACAGCAGCAGCATCTCAGCGTACTTTACATAGTAAAGTATTATAAGTAAAACCCAACATATCCCCCTTGAGCAAGCACTTGGTAACAGTGGAGAGGAAAAACTCCCTTTAAAGAGAAGGAAAAGAAAGAAAAGCATCAGGACACAACAAACATTCAGCAGGTTAATGTTGTTGGTTACTGCTAATCAGAAACATAGTGCTCTGAAGCCAGGGCTACCTGCAGAAAGGTACAGGAAGAGAGAGGACACACTACAGGAGAGAGGAAACATGTTTATGCTCTTATAAATCTGCCTCCTTAAATACATATCTGACCTCTCACATCCATAATTTGTAAATCTTATTTGGGTTTGTTTTCTGCTGTTCACAATTGATTCAAGCTGAAATGAGATCCTGGATCTGTCGACATCTGACATGTCACTGTCAATAAAACAGGTGAAAATCTGGCTCACTTGCTATAACACAGTTAAATGCTGAAGCCTTTCCAGTAGTGTACATCCCAGTGACTCTTAGCTTACAAATTAGCTCATTCATCATTTGTGAAAGAAAAGAATATGTAGTTGTTTAACTGCACAGTACAGTACCACCACAGCTTGTATTAAAGGTACATAGCACCCTCTACTGGGAGATAGGATATATAGTCATATAGACATGATCTGTATAAGAAAATGAACCACATTTCAGTTGTTTTGCACAATTATGTGAATGAGATTCAGTTTACCATATTGTAAATTGACTGTGATGTTGTTCTTTTTACTCTTTATGTGAGCATTTTTTTGGCTACATTAAGTATGTTTGTGTGCTTCGACACTGAGCTGTGTGTGTCAGTGCATGTACAGTATTTGTATTGTTGTCACTTTAATTGCTTTGTGCTTCTGTGTTCAATATCCAGACCAAATGCAGGGCACAGTCACACTGAGAAACATCAGCACCAGCACCTCAGGTCTCTACCAGTGTACCTCCAGCAACGTTATTGGCAAGAGCACCTGTCTGCTCAACCTGCAGGTTATAGCACGTAAGTACACTCAAACACACCACTCGTTTTTGCTGGATCAGTGTGACACTGTTCTTATCATACATAGACACGTGTGATGCATACCTGTGTTTGTTTAGGCATGTATATTTAGAGATAGAAGGACCTTCTCACTCACTCACTGACTGAATAAAGTCAGAAGTCATCGGCTTGAATGGCACAAGCAGACAAACAATACAACCAATCGGACAATAGCACTAGCCACACATCTGACAGTGATCAGAGAAAAGACAGTGGGATAGTTTGACAGTAACATGGATTTTAGTCTTCATTTCCCAACTGACAGTGTGTGGCTGGCCAATGCTCACTGTCAGGAATATACTTACTTAATGCTTTGTGTAGTCTGTATTTAAAAACAGGGAGTTCCAACATGCAGATATAGAAAGGGGGAGGTTTACTCACAACTGTACTATTCCATTCTTGTGTCCTGAGTATTGTTGTAAGGCAACGGGAAATAGAAAATAAGTAAGTAGAAGAAAAAAATGAGAATAAACAGTTTCTCTGTTTCTGTTATTTAGTGTAACCCATCTGGCTCGCACTTCACTTGAGGGTGATTCTGCATGACTTAGATTGAATTTTAATGCTCATTATTTGGCAGACATTTGCGAAATGTTCTCCTCATGTCTTTGTTTTGCAGCCCAGCCTCAGAGTGTAGGTCTGATAGCAGGAACGGTTGCCACAGGAGTCCTGGCTCTCATCATCTGTTCCCTGCTAGTGGTTGCCACACTCTTCTACTGGAAGAACAAGAACAAATATGATGAGGAGGAGATCCCCAATGAGATCAGGTTGGTCATTGCTCATTTGCAACCAAAAGCTGCTGTGGTTTCCAGTGCATGAAGAACAGATGATACTTGCAGATGTGGTGTCAGAGTGAAGACAAGGTGACAAAATGCAACAACAACTTTGTTTTTCCTATTGTAGAATAATAGGCACGGCACAGGAGTCACAAAGACTGAGTTCAGAAAACCCAGACCAGTAAATCTGATGTAAAATTTGCACCACTGAGCTTAATGTTAACTGCTGACAGCAGTTTCTCTTCACAGTCATAGTCTAAGCATTCTTGTTAATATTCGAACTCACTGACCATCTTGCTGCTCTCATTTCTTATATCACTGACATCTTCGGGAACATCACCTTCAATCAGTGAGGAAGCATCAAGGATTCACAGAGTTGTTTCCTACAGAAAAGGGTTCTAACTTTTTTTTTGAATAGAATTCTGACTTTAAATTCAGAATTCATACTTTAAAGCTCACTTGCTTGAAAAAAAAAAGTCCCAATTCTGAGATTAAAGCCAAAAAGTCAGAGAAAAATCTCAATTATATTTTTTACAGCGGTCCTAATCTTCTTCTGTAGTTTTTTGACTGATTTCTATCCAGTTACATTTTTGCTCGAAAACACATTAAATGTTAAGTGATCTATAAAACAAAACAGGGTGGGTTCATCAATATGAGTGACTCCTTTCACCTTACAGTCATTTGATTAAAATAAAGATGTTCACTACTGATTTATTTTAATCAAGGTGCTAAACAGTACATTGATGGTGCAGATGTTTGTCCAAAGAAAATGACTGACCTTTGGTATCTCTCCTCCACAGAGAAGATGACCTTCCTCCTAAGAGGTCATCATCTGTGAAGGCTTTCCACGCAGATGCCTCATCCTCAGAGAATGACACTCTGACATCTACCAACACCTACAACAGCCGCTACTGGCACAACCCCAAACCCAATTATGACACCAACTCCTACACTCGCTACAATGGAGACACACGCCAGACCTTCTCCGCTGCTGCTCATGGTCCACATGGACATGGACAGGCCCTGAACACAGGGCACAGCCACAGTACGGTGGCCACAGCACCCAGCTCAGCACCACTGTCCCGCCACACGCAGCCCACAACTGCAACGGCTGCATCATTTGCCAATGGCAGTCACACACTCCCTCCACCCAAGACTCTGGTGGTCACCACGAACTCTGCCCCCTCCCCTCCTGCCATGGTGCGCAGCAACGGCACTGTGAGCCTCAAACCGGTGGTGACATCCGCACACGGGCAGCACACGCACTCCTATGCAGTGAGCCAGGCCGCACTGGAGCGGATGGGGGCAGTGCCCGTCATGGTGCCTGCACAGAGCCGAGCAGGTTCGCTGGTCTGAAACCTGATTTGAAAGCAAGACAAAATGAGTGTCTCATTGTGATGTTTCTTACCCACAGTGAAAACAATGAATATGGGCTGAACCAGCCCGCTGCCCTTTATAACTGTCTTTCTCTATATTCTGACCTTTTTAATCTCAAAACCAACTGGGATTTTACAGTGCACAGTTTGTTAAATGCCAGTCCCTTGATGGGCAGAACTTTCTATTTTGTAGACAAGCACTATGTGGAATTTGATCATCCCTCTAGTGGATGAGTTTTCCTGTCACATACAGTGGGAACTGTTTTTCATCTGTGGATGATTTAACAAAGCTGAAATTAAATTTCCTGCAGAACCTGGAATCCCAGATCTTATTCAGGGCCGGACCATAGTGGGGATTGTGTTTTTTTTTTTTCCTGGACTCAAAGCAGCACAAGGTATTTTCATCTCAGTATGTCCATACTGCTCAGTCGGACAGAAGCAAGCGCAGATTCCTACGTAAATGCACGAGTCCTTTGATTGGCAGCAGTCATAGTGATTGTAAGGATTATGTGTTGAAAAAGTGAATCATGTTAAGCATACAGTACATGGGTGAAGTGATGGTGGTTTCAACAGCCTTAGAACATGACAGTTAGTTTGGTTTTATTGGGTGCAGTACATTGCATTGCGATATATTGCATTGCTTCACTAGATGGGAAACATTTTAATTACATTGTTGCACTTTTTAGAGCAATTTTATAACTTACAAGCTTTATATGTCTTGCAAACAGTAACTCAGCCTTATGTTGTATGGGTAAAATGCTTTACCCATACAACATAAAGTGAAACTTCTGCACATACAATAGGGCAGCATGATAAAATACTGGGGATGCTGGGTTTTCAGAGAAAACCTTTCAACACTTAGAAACAACAGAGGCAGCGTCTGAAACCTGATTGAAACCTGTTGATGGATACTGTTGCAGTCTTCTCTGTGTGTATCGTTGCCGTTGTCTTAATTTGGCTCTTTGCTACATCAGTGCTGCTTTGAAGAGGAAGTTTTACTTCATAAATGCTTTATAAAGACACAAATTTATATATTTAAAGATGACGTTTCCCCATTGACAAAGGCCAACACCTACTGTTTTCTACTGTACATACTGTAATTACAATAGTCGGCTAGATTGTAAAGCAAAGAAAATACATGACATGTCTGATATATATTTTTACTGATAACTCATGTGTCTTAATTTTAAAAGAGTTCTTTTTGTAACATTAGAAAAGAAGCTGGGTTTGATAGACAGTGTCTTTGATTTCAACAAAGGGATGTTTTTTAATATTAACATTTTTTAATGAGCATTTCATTAATTTACGTTATTATATTAAGATGCTAGGTTTTACTATAAAAAATAGTAGTGACACCTATGCTGTATATGGTAGAAAGTACCACTGTGTTTCTGACTTAGTGTATTTATGTTTTAACCAGATATCACCAAGTACACAAATGCAGCATTCCCAAATATATCCTCATCTCTTTTTTGTGCGTTACTTGAATGCACTGTATTAATAATGTAGCTATGGGGCAATATTTGGTTCACAATTATGTGTGTGTTAATATATTAGAAAGTGGTGTTTCTTTTTTTTTTTTTTCAAGAAGTCTAATTGAGAAAAAATTATTTTGTAACATTACAAGAAGTAGTCCAACATTAACCATCTCATGGCTTATGGCACCTTCTCTTGCATATTGTTTTTCATTCTTATTATTGCATCCAGATGATGTTAAAAACACACTTTTATATGGGGAAGATGTTTGTCTTCACGCCTTTTCTAGTACAGTAGGTGTTAGAATGTCATTAAAGTTTACTGAATTAGAACATTTTAAGAACTCAAAGATTTAGCTGTTAATGTGATATTAACTTACTTATTATGAACCAAAAATACTTGGATCATACTAGCAGAAATACTAGCCAAGGTGATGCATGTTTGTATTATTGGTGACATCGATTAATTCACACATTGATGGATGGAGTTCATGTACAGACCTGTGTCAGTGATATGTAGGCCTGCAGTTTACACAAACAGTAATCCTGATTTTCACCTGATATCAGTTACTAGAATATGTACCAGCCCAGATCAGTCACAGGTCTGACTACAGCTTAGCACCCAGTCAGTGTCCTTATAGACACATTTATCCAGTTTTCCTTTTCTTCTTAAAACTGAATAATGTGGTTAAATCTGGCCGAAACACACACACACTAATTCATAAAGAGAGAGATTGAAAGAGGTCAAACAATCAAAGATCAGTCATCACGTCCCTTTCTTTCTGTCCGACAGTGTTTTACAAATAAAGTCTTGTAGTCTCTGTACAGATTTCACTCTATGCTCTATTGCTACTTTAACTCCATTTGCAGTAGCAACAGAGGAATAAGCACAATCAGTAGAAAACTACTGAGGTTTAACCCAAACTAAATAAACATCTCATCCTCTTCACTGGCGATAGTTTGGCATGTGGTACACAAGGATATACTGTATATGGGTTGTGCAAATAGACAAATAATGCCATGTAATATATTGCCAAAAATAAATCCAGTCTGTAAATATGTATAAAAATACACCTTGTTCTTACTCTTGGGTTGAAATGAAATAGGAAAATAACACTGGAACTTGTAGTGAATAAATTTTAGATTCTATCTGGTATCCTGCTCAGTTATTTGGTTATGTGGCATGACACAAACTGTATTTAAATTGAAACTATATGCCTTCAAGGTGATCATCATTTTAAAAAGTAGACATTTTTATTGTATTTGTGCCATGTTAGTCATGAAACGTACAGACTCCACATACAGTAAAATGCCTGGTGTAGGGCCTGTGCTCAGGAGGAACTGCTCTGTGGGAGCATACTGTGTGACGAGAGGAATAACACATTTCAGCCTTTGCTCAGTGAGCTTCTTATGAAAATCATTCATCGAGCCTTTGGTGCTGCTGCAGGCTGTTATGACAACCATAAAGAAGGGGAGCTGTTCAGAATAACAATATGAAAAATATTCAAGTCTGCTGCTTTCTTTATTTGCTTGTGGTTGATATTCCCAAGATAAATTGTGTAATACTGCAAAAAAAAAAAAAAAAATTAATGCCCTCAAAGAACAGTTACAAAATCTGATGCTGACCATAATATGTGAAAGTATGTTTTTATCACCATATTTGCCAGTTATACTGTCTCTGTTCAATGCTCATGTTTGATACACTTGCTTTTCTGACATTCACTGTGCAGCTGATTAAATGGCAACGTGCATATTACTGCCCACAAACCAAGTATAATATTATTGCACCATGTTACCCTAATACATGTGCAACTTATGAATTTGAGGTGTTAAAGGTGTTATACTGTCTGATTTGGTGTGTGTATTGGTGTGAGCTTGGTATTACTGCAGTGGATTTGGCTGATTTAATCATGACTATGATTATTTAAACCAGTTCAGCATATCCTCTGATGACTTGAAGTAGTCTGGACTAAAGTTCTAAAGAACTGAAGTTTTTTGATAAACCACCAGAGGACAGTGTTTATACACCTAGACATGCAGAAAGACACTGGCACAATTTAGCTTCATATCCTATCACAAGAATTCCAGATGGTAAATTCTGAACCATTCATTTTCAAAGCCAAAGGTAGCCAGTGGGAATGAGCAGAATGTTGAAGGACTCATTTCAGTTCAGCAGAATAGAGGGGAAATAGCTTTCTGCAGACGGAGCGTTTGTCTTAATGCAATATTAATTGGATCATCTTAATGACATAAATCCTCCAGGTTTGATTTCTAATCTACATTTCCATCAGGATTCTTTTATTCCTTCTCTAACTCATTTTAGCTTTAAGACTCAGCAAGAGTAGCAGCATGGTGGCATTGTGGTTAGTGCTGTCTCCTCGCAGCAAGAAGGTTCCAGATTCGAGCCCCGGCCGATCTGATGCCTTTTGGTATGGAGTTTGCATGTTCTCCTTGTGCCTGCGTGGGTTCTCTCTGGGTACTCCGACTTCCTCCCACCCAAAGACATGCAGCTTAGGTTGATTGGCGACTCTAAATCACCCCTATGGGTGAGTGTGGGTGTGTGTGGTTGTCTGTCTCTAAGTGTCAGCCCTGTGATAGACTGACCTGTCCAAACCACCCCCCACCCCCAACCCTCTTCAGGATGAGTGGTAGAGATAATAGATGGATGGAATTAACAAGAGTGACCTTTTGAAAATGAAACAGCAAAAAAGAACAATGAACAAGAGCTCCAGAAGATTGTACTGACAGAGGAGACCGCCACCTGGCACGTGAGTGTCTGGGTGTCTGTGCTGAAGCATGCATACTATGTGCGTTTGCTCGCACTCCTAAGCAGAGCGTAGGAGTTAATTATCCTCTTTGTGGGCTTTGAATTATAATGAATCAAAGCAGCCATCCTTCCAATATTCCAAAGCTCCAACCCAGATGAAGTAACCTCCCATTCACTACATTTTTGTGACATTGGACATTAGTTGACTCTTTCATTATTGCTTTGATAATTTCAATGTCATGCAATTATTAATGTTTTAAAAGGTGCTACCTTAATAAGTCTATCATTATTATTATTTTTGTAGCCCCAATAGAGGTCTTACAGAAGGCAATGGCACTCTACATGATATATTTTCCCCTCTTGCCAAGGTTGACTGCGGCAGAAAGCTTTTAACTCTATTTAACTTTAAGAATGCTAAATGGTGGCCAGAAAATGTCTGTGAACAAGAAGTAAGTAAAAAAAAAAAGCTTCAGACTGTATGAGACTTTACTCTTTTGTAGTTCGGCTCTCTTTATCTCTTTCTTTTGCTAATTAATGTAGATACTTTAATCTGCAAATCACAGCCTTCATGCACTCTTCATAATCCTTTACATGTTTGCAACCATTCCATGTAACAGATAAAATGCGACATAATGCTAAGTTTTTGCCCCCATGCTATCAATGCTATCAATGCCCCTGTCAGCCATAGTCTCACTCCCTCAGGCCCTTTATTTAATAAGGAACTGTTTTTTCTCTGTCATTCTCTAGCCTTCCACCTGATGCCCTAAGACTTTCCCTCTGGTTCCACTCACCTGACCTTCCCCACCCACTTATGCACCTGTTCCCAGTCCCTAATTATCCAGCCAGAATTTAAACTTTCCTGTTTCCCCGTCTCCTCGCCAGATTGTCATGTTTTTATACTTTGTTGTTCCAGCTGTAGATTCTTGTTCTTGCCACCCTATCTGTTACCTGCACCCTGTTCTTGTTCCTGCATGCCTGTAAGCTGTTTCAGTCAGTTCATTAAAATCTCTTCACTGCATCTGCCTGCCTGCTTTACATGTCTGCATTTGGGGCCACCCATTTGTGTTGCCTTGCTTAACAACCTTGACAGTTACAACTACAAGTTGAGTACACATAACTAAAATGACTGAAGAGCTACTGAATTCAACTAAAACTGTGTTTATTTAAAACACGGTGCTCTGGAATGGAAACACATTTAGTGCAATTTATACAATTTTTTAACTGACCACAGTAGAGATTCAAACCAAGCCTCAAACAAAACAAAACAAGGCATCAGTGTCTCTTAATGGGGACCATGCATTTGGAACAAAATAATACAGAACGTACAACCAACATGTGCAAGTCTAGGTGTATTTTGTAATGGCCCATTTGTTCATTAATCTGTGACTGAATAACTGAAACTAAAATGAACACATTGAAATGGGGAACAAATGAGACAGAGACAGAGAGAGGCCCATTTCTTAGCAGGTAGAGAGGTGGCCAACTATGGAGCAGAATAAGGCCAATCAAGCCTCTCTGGTCTCCAGGCTGAATGCATTATGCTGTTTCTGAGAAATCACTTTGGACATTCATTACATTGTCCCATCTGAAATGTTCTCTCCACTCTAGTCTTGTATAGGCCAGCCTTCCCATAACGGTCTTGAGCTGTGGAACTGGTTCATTGCCACTCTTTCTCTCTATCTTTCTTACACACACAAACACACATACACTACGTGTGTGTGTGTGTGTGCATGTGCGTTAATATACTGACAATAACAACAATGCCCAATTGTGTTAAACAAGTGTTTAAACCAGGTGAGGGATAGTAGGTGTGTTTTTGTGTCAGTGCAGTGTTGCTCTGGTGGGACTGTTTTGTGTTTGGCTTATTTTTTCATGACCATGATTATTTCACTTAGCATTCTCTGCACTTCCTCTGATAAAAAAAAATAACATGAGGTAGCCTGGATTGGGATGGTGGCACAGTTGTTCAGTTTTTAGCACTGTTGTCTCATGGCGAAAAG